GTCATTAGCAAAGAGAATATAAGGAATGGATAAATTCCTGATCCACAAAGAAGGCTACTGCATGAAGCATGCCTGCACAATGAGAGCAAAATATAAAAGTGCCAACTAGGAAATTTAGCTAGATTAGAGAAGATGTGGGAAATAAGTTTAAAAAAAGAAAAAGGTAAGAACTGTGAGTAGATTGCATCAGGATGAAGGGAGGTTATTCTTGGAAATTCTCATGGCTGTGGTTTGGATCCAATCTTGTTACATTGGTATTGGTGGCTTTGCCAGGAAATGCTGGTTTAGGACTCTGTATGGTTAAAAATTTTAATTCTTAATAAGAAGTGTGTGCTGCATTTGCAGAGTGTGTGCAAGAATTTCTCTGTGTGGTACTGAACAGCTAGTCTATGGAATCTGGCTGAAGAAAATGGGCTTGGCCAGCTCATCCCCCCTTTATGTAAAAAAACAGCTGCAGTAAACACCCCTCTCACACATGAGCAACCTCCTATACAGACTGAGAAAAGGCACTTGCTAAGACTGAGAGTGAGGCTATTGTAGGTCAAAAGATGGAACATGGTGTAAACAAGGGTTAGGGTTAGGGATTACACAATGTAGTCTGAAAGAAGGATACTTGTAATGTTCTCACCTTTGATTGTCTTGAAAGAGTATGGAAGTGTGTTTACTTCATACTCCAGTGCTCTGGTCATACAGAAAGAACCAGCATGGGCAACCTGATTTGGAAAACTGCAGAGACTGAGTATGAGCGTGAGTGTGCACGTGCTTCCACTTGCAAGTAATTTTAGTTAATAAAACACCACAGACTCTTTGCCTTGTAATGACTTACTTAATCAAGATACCATAAATATTAAGTTAGAATTATTGCCATCTGTGATTACACTTGAAAGGGACTGTGCAACAATATAAGTGTGATTAATTCTGCTTACTTTACATATTCATGAGCCATTGTCAGTAACAAGGCAGATCATATTGTTACGTGGGAAGAAGCTGTCTTCAAAGACTGAAGTAGTAGGAGAAGGATGATATCTGATATTATGAGAGAAATGCATGTCCATAATAACAAGTGGGGTTTTTTTTCCGTATACATAAACACGCTCGGAAAAACTTGGCTGACCTTATTAATCACGGGATGATGGAGTAAGAACTGTAATGCTACTACCAAACAGGCAAATGCCCTTTCTAGGCCTCCTCAAAATAGGTATTTCCAGTAGAGAGAAAAGATGTTGTCAGTGGTGCTGTTGTTGTATCAGTTCTTTTCACATGAATAAGAAGAGACTTATTAAAACTTAATTAGGTGTTGAAAAGGGTGCCAAGGATATGAAAGTAAATGAAGGTTTTTTTCACCTGGCAACATTAAGACTGCAAAGCAAATTACTTTTCTCTAAATGCAAAGGAGACAGATTGTGATAGGTGTGAGTCATGAGAAAGTTCAGAGCACTATCTGATGATCAACTGCTGGAGCAGAAAGCCAAATTATGTACTTTGAGGTGAAATTTGATCAGTGGAAAGGAACTGGATATCAGGAGGGGCTGGTTGCCCCACAATGCTCCTACCATGATTGCAGTCAGTCATGGGCCTACTGAAGATGCTGGGGGTTGCTGTGATTTGCCTAGAATTGGCTTCCACAGCCAGCTCAAGTGAAACAGGCATCCTGAGACAGAGAGCAGGACCTGTCCCACTACAGAAGGAGATACCCGGACCACTGGACTAAGATTTGTCCAGCACTTGGTGTCTGGACTCCAGTACCCTAATGATGAGGCGGCTGTTCCTGACATGGCCAAGCCACTCTCTGACGGTGGCGCCCTGGCTTCTGGCACCAGCAGGGAGGACGGCGTGAAGGAGGGCCAAGGAGGAGGCAGGGTGGCGGCGATCACTGTACTTACCCGCCGTGTCGAGGCGTTCAGGGGTAGTAGCGTGGCCCCCGGGGGTCCCGCCGCTGCGGGAGGCGGGGCTCCATCGCGCCCAGCCCAGCCTAGGCTCTCCGGCTTCCCATCCGCCAGTGTTTGCGGGTCGGATCCGGGCGGTTGGGATCTGCCCCGGCTTTGTGCTGCCGGCAGTGCTCTGCGGCCGCGTTGGACCGAGAATCTCCAGCACCCAGCGCAGTCTCGGCTCCCACTCCGTGTCCTCCGGAGCTGCTGGGGCGCATGATGGCGGTGGCCACTGTCGCGGAGATGAGCAGCGCCAGCAGTAACAGCAGCGATACCTCTAGTACGGGCGAGGAGGAGAGGATGAAGCGCCTCTTCCAGACCTGCGACGGCGATGGGGATGGCTTCATCAGCAGGTAGCGACAGCGGGAGGAGGTTCTTTGCGGCACTGGTACCGAGCCGTCCTGTCCTTCCCCCTCCCTGCGCCCCCCTCCCTGGCCGCCCGTGAAGCCGTTTCTCAACTTGTCGGCGAGTTTGGGCAGTTCGCGGAGCGCAGATTCCGCCGACCGGTGGCTCCCGGAGCGAGGGGCTGAGAGCAGGGCTCCGACGGTACTTCCGCAACGAGAGCTCTGGAGGCGCGCAGGGGAGGCAGGACAGGCACCGACGCTTAACACTTCCGCGGCTCTAGAGAATCACGCCTTCTTAACCTCGGCGGTGTGCCTGTCTTCGTGCATTAGGCAGGTGTTTTTTTTGCAAGAAAACAAAGCTGATCCCAGGTTATCTAGGAGAAACCTCGTACTGATCTACCAAATCGTATGTTTCTTTGTATTTTCAGCAATATCCTTGTTACACAGTCCATTTTAAATTCCTCTGCTGGTCCCCATTTAATTTTGGTATTGTGACCCGGGCTGACAGGTTTTGAAGGGGAAAGTGGTGAGTGGGTAGTTTGCAGTAGGTAGTTGGAAACAAGATTCAATGAAGTGTTCATGTGTCTGGAAGTACTGGCAGTGTGTTTTTGTCAGGAGTAGGTTTTGTTGGAAGGTAAACTTCAGTCCCCACTGTCATATCTTTGGAGCCTGAAAGTTGTTGAAAATTTGTGTCAGCTGGCAGTCACTTTAAAAATTAAGGGTCATAATATTTCTCATCTAAACAGCTCCCCAAACTTTTCCTCTAGTCTAGTGACTATTTTGGCAGTGTATTTCAGAAATGTAAACTTTGTAAATGCATGCTTTGTATTTGTTTACTGTCTTCGTGGAAATTACTGTGATGTATGAAAACAGGATGTTCACTGAAAGCGTACAGTGCCTCTTGCTTGTTTGTATTGTGATGCTTTTCTGCAGTGTAAACTCAATAGACTTCTGTATATTCATAATTTAAAGATCTTGCTGAGGGAATGCTAATGCTTTAGTGCTTGAGAGATGCTGCCATGACACATGCCTCTCCTTTCTGGTTGGCCTTTCTTTTTTTGCCTAAGTTTTGTTTCCAGTTTGTATTCTGTGTATTTCAAAATGCATGTTTCTGAATGTTGGTTGAACAAGCTCTAGGACATATCTGAGGAGGGACATTGGATTCAGCAGGTTAAAAGTCTTTCAAGAGATGGTCCGTTGTTGAAGGTTCTAATAATGTCCTTCAGAAAAGGACATGTGCCTTCAGGCATGGCATTGCATGGCAGAGCATGATCAAGCTGGCATGGGTTTGATCAGAGAAGGTAGTGTTAGTGCCTTCCCTTAGATTTCCATATTTGTGGGAAAGTAGTGACTGAATATTTAACAAATGACCTTTGACACGACAGGGAGTCATTTACTTTTTTCGCCTTCATTAGTTGTCTTAGGTAATCGGTCTTGCAAATGAAATGCGTTCCTTGCTTTGTGTAGTGCCTCAGCTTCCCTCATGATCTATTTTATGGCAATGGCTTACGCAGGAGCAGGCTTGCCCAGTGTTTTTTGGGTATATTTGCAGTATATAATTGCAGTATATATGCACTGTTGTCTTAGAGACAGCTCTTTCTGGTTCATGAAAATACAGCATCCCCATTAAAAGTATTGCAACTGGAATGTTGTTGCTTACAGTCCTAGTGTTTAGGTAATTGCATTTTGTTAATAATGACAAAAAGTTATACTTGCTTTAACACTGAACTTAATCATGTCATTCTGTGCATACTGTTTGCCTTGCTTCTGCTTTTTATTTCTTTTACAGGACAGTTGCTGGTTTTGCTGTTCCCACATGCCCTTCCTCCTTGGACTGTCCTTTGCTCATCCTTGACAGACAGTAGCAATTTCATTGTTGCCTTCCTTGTAGCTGCAGTGGAGATGACAGGCTGACTTCTGCACATTACTGTGTACCTTTTACAGCAGGTTAATCATTGCAATAAATGCTTGAGGAGCTATAAAGAGATGTATAAATAGTTGAAAGCAGAGAAGCCAACACTGTAAAATCCTCTGCTTCCTTGTGGACTTTTATTAGGTTGAGCCTCTTTTTCAGAACTACTTATTTTCAATATAATGGGGTTGAAATTTGCAGTTTTGCAGCTGTTACTCAGCTTAAGTTTTCGTATCTTTAAAAATGAGTATCCTTTCTCTTCTGCTTGCAGGGGTGAAGCTTGGTTAGTCATTTATTTACCTAACACATGTAGCAGTTTGCTCATGAGATTTCTAGCTTCCAATTCCAGAGATGCTATGGAAGAGGGGATCTTTATTTTTGCAGCAAAGGCAGGCATTTTATGTTTATTTAGTTCATATTGCATGGGGAAAAGAGCTATTTTCATTCTTAATGAGGTAACATGGTGTCTCAGCTGTGGAAATGCTTTGTTGTGCATCAGACTGTAAAACGCTTCAAATAATAGCATGGAAGTAAAGGCACAGATGGAGAGGAGGAGCAAGTTCTGAGATACTGATTTATTTTCAGACTCTAAATAGCTAGGATGATATGAAGGGGGCCTATAAGAGTGCTGTGGAGGGACTCTTCATGAGGGACTGTACTGGTAGGACATGGGGTAATGGGTTCAAACTTAAACAGGGGAAGTTTAGATTGGATATAAGGAGGAAGTTCTTTCCTGTTAGGGTGTTGAGGCACTGGAATGGGTTGCCCAAGGAAGTTGTGAATGTTCCATCCCTGTCGGTGTTCAAGGCCAGGTTGGACAGAGCCTTGGGTGGCATGGTTTAGTGTGAGGTGTCCCATGCCCAAAGGACCTTAAGGTCCTTTCCAACTCTACCTATTCTATGATTCTATGAAAATGATAAAGTGCAATTAAGTGAGTACCATTGGTGGTTATAACCCAGAAGCAGCTGAATGATGGGGTATGAAGTGTTAAGCCTGTGTCTCTGAGGAACTGTCATGGTTTAAACCCAGAAATCACACAGTTGTTCTCTCACTCCCCCCCACTCCCTCCCCCCCCCTTCTTCCCTCTGCTCCCGGAGGGATGGGGAGGAGAATCGAAAGAATGTAACTCCCATGGGTTGAGATAAGAACAGTCCAGTAACTAAGGTATAACACAAAACCACTGCTGCTACCACCAATTACAATAATAATAAGGGAAATAACAAGGGAAGAGAATACAACCGCTCACCACCTGCCGACCGATACCCAGCCCGACCCGAGCAGTGATCTAGCCTTTCTGGGTAACTGCCCCCAGTTTATATACTGGGCATGACATTCTGTGGTATGGAATACCTCTTTAGCTAGTTTGGGTCAGGTGTCCTGTCTCTGCTTCCTCCTGGCTTCCTCTCCTCCCTGGCAGAGCATGAGACTCAGAAAGTCCTTGGTCAGAGTAGACATTACTGAGCAGCAACTAAAAACATCGGTGTTATCAGTGCTGTTCCCAGGCTGAAAGTCAAAACCACAGCACTGCACCAGCTACTAAGAAGGAGAAAAATGACTGCTACTGCTGAACCCAGGACAGCATCATGTTTGACATGTGCACATTGACATTTTACAACATCTAACTAGACAAAAGTACTAGGAAAAATTACAGTTTTAGCTTTCCAGTTTGTACTTTAATGGCTTTTGCTTCTTTGGGGATTACCATTGGTTAGTTATTTTAACATCTTGCAGGTGCTTGGCATTCTTCAACAGTGAGAGGTAACTTTACAACCATAAACCAAAACAAAAACTCAAACAAATGCAAAGCAGTCTAATATTAAGGATGGATTCTGGATGCTTGGAATCAACAGGATCAGCCTTGCTAGAAGCAAAAGGCAACCTTAAACACTGTTTACAGCAGAACCTTGCTTTTGCAGCTGAAGGTAGACTGTGTTGTGTTAATAAAAAGCTGTTAACTGAAAAAACACTCATTGCTTTCATTTGTTTTGCTTTTTATTCTGTTTGCTTTGAAAAGCTTCAGAATGTGATCTTCCAGTTAAAAATGCATTAAGTTTCAGAGGGTTTGTAGATTGGGAGGGCACACGCTGTTTGTGTGGTGTTTTTTTGTTTGTTTGTTTGTTTTTTTAATGTCAAAATAGGTGGGCTCAGTTTATGTCTGTTAGGAAAGTGAGAGCATGCTCTTTTTTTACAGGTGGTGGGCTCGATTAATGTCTTGTAGCTTTATCATATGTGGATTGCACTGAAGTTCCATTCAGTACATCAAGAATTTAGTCTTTACTGCAAAAGTCACTAAATAGCTTTCCAGATTACTCTAACACTGTAAGGTCCAAATAAGATAACTATAAATTTACAGGAAACTTTGGTTTAAAAAAAAAAAAAAAAAAAAGAAGGTATGAGTTATGGAGGTAAGGGGTGAATAAAACATTAATTTTGTTATTAAGTTACAAATGTGCTAGTTTTCTGATTTTAACTTTAGAACGTGGGTAAGTAATTTCTAGTGTCATGAAGTAAAAAGATAAAGCTAGTGTTTAATTCAGAGGGAGAATTGTTATCGTAGCAATAATAATAGAATGATGTTCTGTTTGTAGAGTTTGTTTGAAAATACTTTATTCTGTGTACACAGATTTTTTTACACTGGGGTCGATGTCTTACAGAAAATCTCTGGTAAAAGTATTTTGAAATCTATAAACCTACTGATTTTGTACTGAGCTTATACAACCTGTCGAAAGGACATGAAAGACTGCCTCCTTCAATAACCTTTCTCAGCAGTTAAGAGGAACTTGTTGGATTTGATCTGTTATCTATGTCGTTTTAAGCGGTACATAGCTTTGGGAACTTGAAACCTTTTCAAGGACAAGCTGATACTTCCCTTGTTACTAGGCTGCGGTAGTAGGGTGTTCCCAGCTTTCTTGCTGAGCATGTTTTGGCATAGTATTTCCGTCATAGCAGGTTACTGATTTGACGCTGACTTCCAGTTACAATTTTTGGTTTATAATTAAATAAGCTGAGGTTTTGTAGCAAGTGGAAGAAACTGTGAAAGTATTTATTAGTATAATTCAAGTTGCTAACTAGTGTTCATGTAAATTCATTCATTAACTTGGTTTAACTAGATCAATTTACAGTGTTCTTCATATTTATTTATTTTTTCTTTCTTTTCTTGCAATTTTCTGCATGTAAGTAAGAACTGCTTAGAAATCTAAGTGCCAAAACCAACTGTCTTGGAATGTTATATAAATGGGTAGAGAGTGGCCTTATAAGTGGAACATTCTGGAATAAAAATAATCTTTTAGTTACTGAAAATATACGGTCCTTACCTAAAATATGAGATATTTTACTCTTTGTTATCTGAATGTGGGACAGACTTTTAATTAAGAGTTGTACAGAATTTGTCTTCTCGGTTTCTTCTGTGAGTCTTCAGGAGAGAACATATATGAAAAAGAACTATGAAATAAGAAAAGCATCCATAATTTTTGTGTTTAAAAGTAGTATAAAAATTCATTTTTTCCTAAAATAATCTTTTGCTATTCATTTTTTGTGCTTGTATGTTCTAAGATTTGTATATAAATTGGCAGTAGTGATCTGAGTGTCAGAGAAAATAAGTAGGTCAGGAGCTCAGAACTGCACTGCACATTGATGTGCATGTGGGAAACCATGAAGAAGCTACTGGTGTGGGATAAATTGCAATAAATTTGTGAAAGGTCCTGTAAATCAAATAGGTAAATGAAACAAGTGTGTAGCATTTAACATACATATTTAGTGAGAAATAAATGGATAGATACTAAGTTCCCAATTCATCCATAGGGCAACTGTTACGCTTCTACTAGGATTAAAAAAGACGGAGGTTTGGCCTTGTGTGTTTGCTAGCGTATTTTCAGTGTGCAAAGGGGTGCTGTGTTAATGTTGAGTTGGCACATGCATTGTTGAAAAGGGAGCTGATTGCAATGTGTCAAGGTCTTCAACGGTGTAAAGGATATACTTGCTTCATGGCTATGAGATTCTCAGATTCCTCCTTTCTGCTGTGTATTTTCATGTTTAGCAATTAATAATTTCCCTGTGTTGGCGGGAGTTGTCAAGCAGAGCACAGACCACTCTGTTGACAAGAGGAAAAGGCCTTTTTTCTCAAAGTCTGCACTTACCAAAGCAATTTTCACAGTAGTGGCCACAAGAAAACACATAGGAAGAAAAACATGAGCAGGTTCATCCTGTCACTGTATTTTTGTTGCTATATTTTCTTTCTTTAAATTCTGGTCATCATAAAATCATAGAATGGTTTGAGTTAGAAGAGACCTCAAAGGTCATCTTGTTCCAACCCTGCTACTATAGGCAGGGATACCTTCCACTAGACCAGGTTGTTCAAAGTCACATCCAAGCCTGGCCTTGAACACTGCAAGGAATGTGGCATCCACAGCTCTTCTGGGCAACCTGTTCCACTGTGTCACTACCCTCATAATAAAGAGTTTATTCCTAATATCTAATCTAAATCTCCCCTTTGGCCCACAGGTTGGAAGAGGTGATCTTCCCCCTCTACTCAACCCTGGTGAGGCCACAGCTGGAGAACTGTGTCCAGTTCTGGGCTTCTCAGTACCAGAAAGACAAGAAGCTTCTGGAGAGGGTCCAATGGAGGGCCGTAAGGATGATCAGGGATCTGGAGCATCTCTCCTATGAGAAGAGATTGCGGGAGCTGGGCCTGTTTAGTCTAGAGGAGAGAAAACTGGGAGGGGATCTCGTCGCATATAAATATCTCAAGGGTGGGTGCCAGGAGGATGGTGCCAGATTCTTTACGCTGGCGCCCAGCAACAGGATGAAGAGCAATGGCCATAAACTAAAACATGGAAGTATCACCTCTAAAACTGATCCACGTAATAGTAACTCTTTTTCAGATGCTGTCCCCTGCAGTGAGCACATTGGTTCTTCATCTTTCTTCACTGTACAGGTTGCTGTTTGTGCCTCTTGTTTGCTTTTCCTCTTGCTTACAGGAGCAATCGATATTAGCACGGATTGTTCCTTTGGTTAGCTGCAATGACTATCACTGTGGTTGGAGTGGCCGCAGTATCTGCCACTAGGGTTGCAGTGGCTGCAGTATCTGTTGTCGGGGTTGGTGCAGCTGCTGTGCTTGGGGTTTGAGCAACACCAGCAGCTGCTTTGTTGCTGTCAGGGTTTGAGTAGCTGCTGCACTTGTCACTGGGGTTGATGTAGCTGCTGTACTTTGAGTTGGAGTAGCTATTGTCTGTTGTAGTCAGTAGCTGCTATACTTGTCATTAGGATTGGTGCAG